GTTGCGTTGGTGAGTTGAAATTTGAAAGAACGTACTTGTTGTGTGACGAGATGACAGATTTCATGTTAGGCATGCATGAGTAGCTTAGTTTTAGCGTGTGTCTGTTGAAAATCTTGTGGAGTGGGTGGTTTTTGGAAAGCATTTGTCGACGATGTGCAGAAATTTTCTTCCAAGGTTAGTTCTGACGTTTGAGTTGAAAGGAGGGTTGTACCATGTGATGTTTCTTGTTCGTTTTCTTTTTGTTTTTCGGAGCTTTCTCTTGTGGGGGTTGTATGCTAACTTGTGGTCGTATCCGCTTTCTGTTAGAGCTTTCTGGTAAGGGGCAATAGATTCGTCAAATACTTCTTTGCTGGATGAGATGCTAGTTAACCTTTTGTTAATGTTGAGTGGGATATTCTTTAGTAGTGCAGGGGGGTGGTTGCTCTGTTGGTGGACATAGGACAGTTTATTATTAGGCTTCATGAATGGCTTGTAGCACCCGTTTGTGAGGTTGAAGGTCACATCAAGAAAGTTGACGACCTTTTTGTTAGCTTCGATTGTGATTTTAAGGCCATTGGATTTGAACACTTGGCAGACTTCTTGCTTGGTTTTTTCAATTTCTTTTGGAGTGGCCTTGCAAATTGCGAGGCCATCGTCTCGGTACAGACCAACTTCATTTTTGAAGTTGGTCTGTACCGAGAAACCAGATTGTCCACTCGAAGGAAAATGCCTCCAATCAAATGTAATCTACCAAGCCACTGTAACTACAGCGACGACAACTGAAACTTACGTCGGACTGGCAACAAACTTTAAGGAACGTTACAGAAACCATCAGTCCTCCTTTCGACGCTCAAACAGAAGAAATGAAACGGAACTATCAAAATATATTTGGACTTTACAAGACTCTAACAAACCTTTCCAGATAAAATGGAAAGTTTTAAAGAAATGTAAAGCTTATAGCAACATTAGCAAAAAATGTAATCTTTGTCTTTATGAAAAGTTTATCATCATTTGTAAAAAAGAGCTTTGTAGCCTAAACAGGCGAAACGAACTAGCAAGTTCATGCCCCCACAGAAACAGATATGTACTTCAGAACTCTAGAGTAACGTAACTAAGACACAATCCATCTGTTACCTAGATACTATCTCTTAACGCATCCCTATATTTACTGCCAGCTTTTAATTTTAACGGTCAATCGTTGAAGTTGCCTGATGAGTGTGGTCCTACAATTTCGGACCATACGAAACAGCACTGTCGCAATAAACGATCAATGATTACTCCTGAAGCCTGAACTCCTGTGATTATTAATAATCAATGCTCTTCAATTAAATGAATTGAGCGCTCTACGGAATACGTTCTACCCAGAATACAAGTATTTATGTATACATGTATGTATACAACTATTTCGAGAAAAGTTGTCGGAAAAATATGCACGCGACAATCCCGAAAGGTAGTATGGGATATGTTCAATACACTGTTCCTGACGACTGTGGCTGTCGAACCTACTTTTGTTGCTTTCCTTTATCACTCGCAGACATATTTCCATGGCATCTCCTGCCATTCTTTCAAATTTCTTTGAAAAACAGTGAACTCAAGACCACCTACAATACCTTTCGGGCTTGTCGCGTTCACTTTGTCCGACAACCTTTCTCGAAATAGCTGTATATGTCTGCTTTCGAAAGTATGAGTTGATGGTATATGACCTACCATAGTATTTGTTGAACCTATCTTCTTTACGTTAGCCGCTCTAAGCTCTCTTATGATTCGTAATGAAATAACAGCCAACCATCTCTAAGACAGACACCTTAGGACCGACACTAAGTGTCCGTCTTAGAGAGATGTCCGTCTTATAGAGGGTCAAATAAGGGGAGTAAAGAAAGGCGGGAGCCAACTCTGTCGGAGTCGAAAACTGCCATTGGCCAAGACCAGTTTGCCTACGGGGAAGGCTGTGACACAACCACGGCGCTCCTTACTTGTCATCACCATCGATCAAAATGGTTGGACGGGGTAACTGACTTCGTACGCGTTTTTTTCTTCGACTTCAGCAGGGATTTTACAGTGTTCCACACCCTATTGTTTGCGGTAAGCTAAGGTCACTCAATATCAATCCTTTTGTGATCAATTGGATCGTCAGCTTTCTTAGTAACAAGAAACAGAGAGTAGTCGTGGGTGGCTTTGTCACCAAATTTGTTAGCGTCAACAGAGCGGTACCGCAAGGTACGGTTTGCGGGCCTGTATTGTTCTCTGTTATGGTAAACGACATAACACCGGTCGACCCTGAGCGCAATCTACTGGTCCAGATACTGGTCAAATATGCTGGTGATCTCAGTTACGCTTAGTATGCGCGTGTCAGCAGATCAAGATCACTCTTTCACTGAGGTTAATAGTATTAAAAACTTTGCGTTAAAAAACCGTATGAAACTAAACCTAAAAAGGAGCTGGGAGATGGTAGTTCGTGGCAGGATTTCTAAACCACTTCCACCTTTGGCAAAAGGGATTGAACGTAAATGCTGGTTGAAACTGTTTGGCATAATTTCTGAGGAGAATCCATCGGACTGGGACCTTCATGCTGACAACTTGTTATGCAACTTGTTAGTAGCCGTTTATACATCTTACGCGTCTGTAAATATTTTGGATACCCTAAAGATCAACTGACAAAATTATTTGATCGCTTAATTATGCCCCGGTTGTTATACGGGATCGAAATTTGGGGTGCTGCCTCTCAAGGCAAATATCTTGATCGTATTGACAATTTTTTAAACGTGCCCTTAAGTTCGGATATACAAACAACTTATATGTGATAACTGAGGTTATTAGAAATCTGAACGGCAAGTTATGGAAAACTATTACAGAGAATTCCTCGCATCCCCTTTTCGAGCCGTTGCCCCCTAAAAGACAAATCGTCGCGAGATCGAGAGCATAATTTTATTTTACCCGCAGTCAATACAGAACGTTTTAAAAGATCTTTTACTAATAAAGTCTCTTTCAATTTGCCTAATTGTGATTGATTTTTAATTTTTAATTGTTAATACAACCATATTTTGTAAAGCCGCACAAATGTTGTTACACTATTTGTTGTGAATACAAACTCTTATTATTATTATTATTAATTCTAGGGGTCCGTTCTATAGAGGTGAAGGTTAAGAAGGAGACGACTGTATTCTATTTTTGTATATACATTTTCTATTTCTTTAATTTTCTTAATTTTTTATACTCTTGTATTTTTTTAGCAAATTTTAAGTGTTTGCCTAGTTTTTTCTTTGGAGGATCCTTGCGCAAACCCCCAACCTGTGACGTTGATGTACATGTTACTAAAACAGTCTCTAGCTGCATGAACCAGTTGGTACAGATAGGTAGAATTAAACATCTTTTGGATAGGAAAACCCTTTTATTACTTATAAATAGCTTTATTTTCAGTAAACTTTTTTATTGTTCCTCAGTATGGGGGAACACATCTAAACGTAACCTACACAAACTGCAGTTGGTACAAAATTTTGCTGCCAGAGTTGTATTAGGTTTAAAGAAGTTTGACCATATCTCCCAGGGACGGAGATCTCTTAAATGGTTAGACGTTACAGAGAAGGTTCTATTTAATGACTTAGTGTTAGTATTCAAATGTGTAAATGGCTTAGCTCCAGATTATTTAGGTAAATGTTTTATTAAACGTTCAGCAGTTCACAACAAGAACACAGGGGGATGTAACAATTTTGTGGTCCCCCGATGTAGACTATCAATGGGACAAAGGGCATTTTATTTTCGGGGTCCAAAGGAATGGAATGGGCTACCTGACAATATTAGGAACACTAAAGATATTGATAGTTATAAGCGGAGACTTTTTAATAGGATATTTCATACGAAATAATTTTGAATATATTTTGAATAATTTTGAATGTATTTGAAGTTAATTCAACTACTGTAAATAAGTTTTCTTTTCTTTTCTTAATTACCAGTAATTTGTAATAATTAACACTGTGACTGAAAAGCCCTGTTGAAGGAAGTCTCAATAAAGTATGTATGTATGTATGTACATTGATATCCTCACTTAACTTGAAGGCGTTTTGTGGGAACGCACATGTCTCCTGAAGTTTTTATGGCATATATATCCTTTTTCACAGACAGGACAAGTGTATGGCCTCTCCCCAGTATGTATAGATATATGAGTTCTCATTTTATCGAAACTAATAAAAATCTTCCCACAAACCCAACATTCGTGTTTTTCATTGCTGTGAGCCTCACGATGCAGCGCAAGATCTTCCTTTCGAGAAAAACGCTTATCACAGTGTGCACACTTGAAGGGTTTCGTGTGCGTGCACCGTAATTTTTAGGGAGTTATTATAACTCCAAAAATGGAGTAAAAATTAAAAATTTTAGGTACAGGATAACCCCTTTTTTGGGGTTATTTTAACTCCTAATTTAACTCCGAATTTGGGGTCATTTTTACTCCTGAAAAAGAGTTCTTTTTACTCCCAGTCTTGGAGTTAAAATTACTCCGAAATGGGGTTACTTGTACTCCTTACAGGGGTTGTTTTTACTCTTTTTGGAGTTAATTTGACTCTGAAAGTGGAGTAAAAATTTTAGGTACAGGATAACTCGTTTTTTGGGGTTATTTTAACTCCTCAATATCTGGGGTCACTTTTACTCCTGAAAAAGAGTTCTTTAAACTCCTTTTTGGAGTTAAAATAACTCCACGAAAAATAACTCCACTGTCAGGAGTTAAATTAGCCCCACTAGAGGAGTTATTATAACTCCCTGAAAATTACAGTGTGCGCTCGTGCCTTCGAAAGTGTGAGTTGATGGTGAACACCTTACCGCAGTACTCACAATTCCAAACTGTTGAACCGTTCTTCTTTGCGTTAGCCGCTCTGAGCTCTACAGGGAGATGGACCTGCCTGTGTTTAGAGAGAGAGGAATTTAGTCGAAAACGCTTTCCACATTGGTCACATTCGTATGGCTTTTCACGGGTGTGTATTCTTTGATGTATGTGAAAATCGGCCACACGTGCAAAGCATTTTCCGCAATCGCTACACTTGAATGGTTTGTGAGGATGGTCCGCGTGCGTTCGTAAATGCCCAACAAGAGTTGAACCTTGCGCAAAGCATTTTCCACGCTGCGGTACAATTGAAAGGTCTTTCTCCAGAGTGAGTTCTTTGATGTACCTTAAGAGAATTCACATCACCAAACACTTTTTGGCAAACAATACAACGAGTAATGTCAGGATCAGTCAATCTATGAGAAGTCTCGTCATTCAAGGTATGAATTCGCTTGTGCCTATACAGGGCCGATCTATGAGTATACTGCTTATCGCAAAGTTCGCAACTAAACTGAGGCACTTCTGAATGCGTAGGCATGTGATTTTGAAGACAGTCTTTATTTTTGAAAGTCTTTTCACACAGTCCGCATTTAAACGCTTTGTGTCCCCTGCTCTCACCGCCATGACATACATGAGCTTGAAAAGCTGACTTGTGACTGTACCTCTTTCCGCAATCGTAACATTTCAACTTTCCTTTGTGTTTCTCGGTGTGTTTAAGTTTAGAATATTTGTCCCTAAAACCCTCACCACATGTCCAACACTTGTAAGGAAAGTCATCTGTATGGAGACGATAGTGTTTAAGTAGCAGCTTCGATGTCTTAAAACTTATGTCACACTGACTACACTGGTATTCCTTCGATGAAGAAGCTGCAAAGGTTGTTTCGGTGTTTACACTTCTCTCAGAGGCTCGCGCTTTGTTATCCGCTATTGATTCCACATGTGTATTGTCTTCCGTTTGCAAGGGGCTACTTTCACTCAGCATAGGACACCTATGTTCTTTATGGCGGTGGAGATACGATGGTCCAAGGAATGCCAGGTTACAGTTCTTGCAAACAAAATGATTCCGCCCTGAAGAAAAGACAAACACAATTTTCGATTAAGCTATGATTAGGTTTCGTGGAAATAAATTAGTTATTTCGCTTATGTTTACGAAATCAAAGTTTCCATTTCCTTTCTGTTGAGGCTCTTGAGTGCAAAAGTTATAACTATAAGTCGCTTGTAGAAGGCCTAAATGTAATAAACGGTCCTAAATGTAATAAAGTCCTAAATGTAATAACATTTTGTCCTAAATGCAATAAAGTTCTAAATGTAATAACAATTTGCCCTAAATGTAATAAACTCTTAAGCTGCCATTGACAGTAATTACTCGAATAAGCCCTGTCCTCAAATAAGCGCCGCATTTGGAGGATGGGGTTAATTAGCGCCGCGGCGCTTATTCAAGTAAATACGGTATTAAGCGGTATTGCTATGGTATTAAGCTCCGTTCTCAAATAAGCGCCGCATTTTTAGAGAAAAAGTTAATAAGCGCTGCGGCGCTAATTCGCGTAAAGTCGGTACATTTCCTTATGCACTGTGAAACTTAACGTTTACAAATAAATTGTATGTAAACGGCAAAGTAACAGTATTTTTGTAAGAGTTTATTACATTTAGGGCAAATTGTTATTCCATTTAGGACTTTATTACATTTAGGACAAAATGTTATTACATTTAGGACCGTTTATTACATTTAGGCCTTCTACAGTCGCTCACCTTCACAAGATGAGCTGTGAAACGCCTGGGTTGAACTATTCTTTGTATAGAAGAAGTCATCAAACCAAACAAGCAGCTCACTACCACTGTCGATAGCTTTACAGGTGCGGTAGTAAATTTCTCCACCTTGCTGGAATGAAACCAGATTCTGTTGGTCCTCGCTATGAGCACAATTAACAAACCTCATCCAGTTACAACTTTGTTCATCTGAGGCATCAACAGTAAAGTGGTCTTCAGAAGTCTCAGTCTTAATTACCTGAAAAATGAAAGAATAGCACATTTTTTTAATAGCTTCAAGATCTAAGTAATCTGTGAAGTCATCCTTGCACAAATCCAAAAGTGTGATGTTGTCAATAAATTGTAGAGGAAACCTTTCTCAGGGGCACCCAACGAGGATATAGTTGAAAACCACTTAACATAGCATTGTTGAACGTATTTTAGTATTCAAACGGTAGATATAGGGATATTTTTATCCCCTAAAAACTTTTCATCTGTTCGGATTTCCGAGCTAAAAGTCTAGTGATCCGAAAATTATAGGGATAAAAACTTACCTTCTCGAAAATTCTAGGTGGCCTTTTTTTAGGGTCAAAATCCGTTAAAAATGGGTAATTATACCATTTTGTAGATGTTCGAAAATCCTAGGAGAGGCAGGCAAGCAAGAAATTTTACAACAAATGCTCCGAAAATTCTAGATCTCAAATCGTCTTCCGAACAGATATTTTCCCGAAAATTGCCGTTGGGTGCCCCTGCTTTCTGCATGCCAATCTTTTCATGTCGGCCCAGAAAGCTATCCATTATATGCAGTGTAGAGAAACCGGTCGTTTCGATACGAACTGGCAAACAGTGAAATTGCACAAACATTTCCATCACTTAAAGTAAAGTTTGCAATTGAACAAGGAAAATATTTTAGGTGTGTCTCTTCCCCCGCCTCGATTAGGCTCTCCTATGGCTTTCCTCAAGAAAGTTTTATACAGGGAGGGGCCGCTCCACGGTCCAACCCCTTTACCCTTTTATATACCATGTTTGACAGAAAAGGTACCCTTTTTGTATACCTTCCATTGGCAAATGGTACCGTACCCCTTTCCACATACCTAGCTAGAACTTTGCATACCTTTTAACTGCAGTAAATGTGTTGCCTTTTCTAATATTATGTGCGAATAAATCACAAAACCAGAACGTTTTCTCAATTTTTTCGCAGCCAAAAATTAAAGTGCACCTGTTAGCCCTTTTGGGTTCTTTTACAGACCAAAACGACCGATTTCCCTGGGCTTTTATATACTTTAACTAGTGAAATCCCTACCCTTTGGTATACCCAAAACCTCAAAAGGTACCTATTTTGGGCGGAGCCTCCCCATATAGGCCATGATAAGGAGCACCCCAAGAACATTCACACAGTTCTGGATGAATTTTCGAGCGGTTAAAAATTGCTGCATTTCAGATGTTCCACTCAAAACTATGTATAGATATATATATATATATATATCATGTTTTTATATATATCTAGTTGGTTTGCAATGTCTCGGTTTAAGGTAAAAGATCTGTCATTTGAATTTTGCAGATGCAATTATTGAGGCAAAGGGGACTAATATTAACACAAATACATGTATAAAAGAAAGTAACACTTTGATGCCATTTTGGAAAGTTGTATGTGTTGTGGTGAAATTTATCCCTGGTTTAAAATTCATTTTCCATTGTTTCGACCCATTATTATAAATAAAATTATAATAGCAGCATGCAAAGAAAGTCGTGTCCGATAGCCTTGGGCTAGACTAAGTGGATGTTGCTATCAGACTTGTCTAGTGATTTTTGTTCTTAACTTGCCCGACGGGCAAGTGCTGCTTTTTGGGGAAATTCAATTTACAGAAGGATTGTAATCAATCCTGCTAATCAAAAAGGGTTTTGGGGCTAGTTGAAAAGACTTGTGGGTTAGTACATGCTAGCCACAGCTTGCCTGAATGGCAGGCTATAAACTGACTTTCTTTGCACCATGAATAGGTGCAGTCACACTAGAAGTCTTCCCATAAGGAAATAGCTTGGGTTGGGCTCGCTCTGGGTTCTGATCACTTTTATGATTGTGGCCACACAGCGATAAATTGCCCCAGGGGAAGAAAAAACTTGACACCGGTTACGCGGGAAAAGTCGTTGTACAGCTTGAAGACTGACATAAATCGTAAACGGTTTCAACCACTTTTATCCTTTTAATAAAACCATCACATCAATTAAGCTTGGCAAGAGCGATTCAGCCCTTAATTTTGAGACTAAAAAGGAAGACATCAACTTTATTCGTGCTTAAAAGAAAAGCAAACTCCAGCCTAAAGTGGTTTCACCTTAGGGAAATGGGTCACACACAGAACTGGCTTCTCCCTAGGCAATCGGCCATTTGCCCGTGGGCAAAATCGCTAGTGTGACTGCACCTTATAATATGTCACCAGATCCAAAAACAAAGGAAAGTAGACTTTAAACAAGGATAAAAACTGAACCACAAAACACAAATCCAGATGGTTAAGATATGGCGGCTTTTAAAGCAACGATCAATTCAAAACTTTGAAATTTAAAAAATCGCTCCTGGTCTATTTTCACTGTATTTTGAGTGCATTATAAAATAAAAACCATTTAAAAAAGCAAAATCATCTTTCAACAAAGGCAACAAAGGCATCAACTCTCCCGGATAATCTGGGAGACTCCAGATTTTGGACCGGCTCTCCTGGTCTCCAGATAAGAGTATGAAATCTCCCCGATAATCTCCGAAGTTTGCCATTTCTTCAGTAGACCCGACTTTCCAATAATAAAATTTCAAACAGCAATTTTGCATTAATTGTTTGAGCTATTGTAATGTTCCAATGACCATTTCCTTGTAAACATCGCCACGCCACTATAATAATAAAGTGATTGGTAAAACTGAAGTAAACCAGTCAGCTAAAATGCAACAATACCAACAACATCTTTTTTGAACATTTTGTGTCATCACAAATTTGTGACGATCAGAGTCAACGAGTATTTTTGGCACAAATGACGTCATGTATTGTGCATTACGATGTTACGTATCATCCCTTGGGGGTTGACGGCCCCGCGTATGCGAATGAATTTAGCAACACATAAGCTGTATTTGCTTCATTTCAAGCAGTCTATAAAAAAGAGGGCAGGCTAATCTCATAAACAGAATTGTACAGCAAGGAAATTTTCAAAAATTCAACAGAGTTATGAAGAGTGAAAACGCACATCTGTTCAAAAACGCTGAAAACAGTCTTCTTACGTTTATTAAAAACCCTGAAACTTATGTTCCGCAGAAAGTGACAAACACCTGTATCGTGGTCTTGAAATTCTCCATTTAAGAGAGAAAATGTCTGTACGTCTTTATTCGAATATATGCCTTGTTTTGACTCTAGTCTGATGCCAAACCGTCAAAACGCTTTTCCCGTTTAAACGAATTACAATTTTTTTTATAGACTGGACAGTTCCAAAATAAACTTCGAGTATTTCTATCTCTGACACATTTAAGTTTAGGTCGAAACTTAAAAGTGAAAGTAATCTTTTCAAAACGAAGTTCTTTGACCCATTGTGCAAACAAGGCAGCCCGACAACGCAGCTGGACAAAGAACGCGTCGTATTTTCGATCCGACTCTGTCGTTCGTCGTCTCTCTTGCTTCTAAGTTCCCCGATCTGTTTTAACATATTTTAAAAATGAGTTTTACGTGAAGAAATGCTGACTGCGAGAGAAGTTGTCTCAATCCGCGTAGCTGATAATTCAGATAACTACAGTGGTAGTGAAAGAAATAAACATTAACTCTGACAACTGACTGACACGTGTTTCAAAACTATAGCTGGCCGATTGCGAGCCTGGTACCGAGGCGCGACTCCAGACCCCCACCAGGCGAAAGATAGCGCGCAGTAGGCGGGGCAGCCAGGAAACTTTATTTCTTAACCTTTCTTCTCTAGCTTTTGTATATTATGCTTTTGCTTCCCTACTAAAATGCTCCACCTTAATGCTCCATTTTTCCCACTAAAATGCTCGGTCTCCCCAAAAAAGTCACTAAAATGCTCGGATAATGTTCATTATACAAACGGTTTTTTTAAATTAATTTCAAAGTTTACACTTACAAAAGCGTGCAAGTGTTGTAAGTAACAACGACAACGTGTACAAGTTCATAAATACAGCCAAAAAAACCAGCTGTATTAGGTTTTTTGTGAATTTTGAATTCTAGTCTTCATTTTGTTTAAAAAAGCAGGAGCTCATGGGGCATGGGCTCCTGAAAAAAGTTAATTTCTGTTTTATTTTCTCGGAAAAATTAATTTTCCGGGGAAAATGCCACTAAAATGCTCGAATAATGCTCAATGCTTTTGCCTCACTAAAATGCTCGAAAAAATGCTAGCATAATGTACAAAAGCCTATTCTTCTCCCCCTCCCTTTAATTATATACCAATGTGTATTTAGTGGATTCCTGCTTGTTGTCATCTTATCAACAAATTAACAGTGTTTGCTCTCGCATGAAATATAGCCTGTTCCAGCACAGGTAGCCCAAGCTCGAAATCCAACGTTTACAACTAGCAGGATCTTCGTCCACGGTTTTTGCAGTTAATTTAACTGGCCTTTATTATCGAAACATGGGCATCGGCGAAAATCGGTATTGTTGAGTAACATTCGAAATATAAGGATTTGTTGTAACAATGGGAAAAAAGCCTATCGTTTCCGTGACCTACGAAAATGAAAGGATTTCAATAAAAACAGCTTATCTTACTTAAAATGTGTGTTACGTCTCTCCTGTGTGGTCCATTGGCGGATTTATGGCCGTTTTATGGGTTGCACTGTAAACGGTTTTCTCTGGTTGCAGGGGTTCAGATAGGAGAGCGCGGTGGTCAGTGGGGAGCGAGTTAAACTGTACACCCCGTGCTCTACTATCTGAACGCCTGGAACATAACAGGCTACAGGAAATGTTGAACGGGGGGCAAGGAGAGAATTAGTTCATTCGCGTCTCGCCTTTTCTAGCGCGAGTGATTTTCATGCGCCCTAGTGTATTTCATACTAACTCTGTGGAGTATGGGGGATCTTCTGGCTGGAAAATTTTTATTTGACTTAGGGCAGGATAATCGGTTCCTGCTTAGAGAAATTTACATTTGACTTTTTCGCCCTTTTTTCACCTCAATCACCAACTTGGAGACACCGCCCAAAAGCAACACTCCGCGCCACTA